GTCGTCCAAGTCCTCAGGCAAGGCAAACTTCGCTTTCAGCTTCCTCTTCTGCTTGTCACTTCCGTGGAGCAGCACGGTATCAACGTAAGCGATGACATCCTGCAAGTCCTTGGAGCAGTTCGACGGCGTAGCCTCCATGACAGGGACGAAATACTGCCAAAAATCACTAACAGCCTGAACGACGCCACTTGTGCCATGGTAAGCCCAGAACGTGCCGGGGTCCTTGGTCGCAATCCACCCCGCCAACGCACCGGGGTACGAGCCACCCGAGAACACCCACGGCGCATGGTCCGGGTGGCTCTGGCCGCTCGTGTCGAAGGGGGGGTCGAAGTTGCGGGCGAAGTAGGCATGATCTTTGATGGCATTCTCCAGGGTCAGGTACTGCAGGTTCGACACCGTGAGGTTGGGGAAAGGCGACGATGTGCCCCAGTATCGGTGTTCCATGATAACCACAGCACCTCCGACCGTTTTGGCGAAGAGGCCGGTCAACCGGTTCTGGGTGGTGTACGTCTTGTTGTAGCCATCAGCCGCCGTCTCACCGGGGTCCACCATGATGATGGGCGATCCAGGACCCTTCCAGTACTCTGTGCCGTACCAATACCGTTGCTTGAACGTGCCGAGGCCGGGATTCGCATGGTCAATGAGCTGGTCAAAATGGCCCCAGCCGTTGGTTCCGTTCAAGCCGTCCAAGGCGGTATCTTCAGGCTCGATCGGGCCAATCTCCATGCCAGAGCGGTGATTCCAGATGGCCGATACGGTAGCCGCAAGCAGCACCTCCAGAGCCGCGAGGCTGACGAACCTCATTGTCGATGATCTTGGTGGCCGAGGCGCAAATTACATGGGGATGCAGAACTCGACTCGACGCCCATCCCGGGCGCGATGGGAAACCGCCCGGTTATTTATGAACCATCCATCCTGACAACAGCGCTTTTCGCAAATTAAGACCATCGATCGGGATGACGCGACTGGCCAATGCTACCGTTGAGCACTGCAGATTTACGGTTACTGGGTACAACCGATAGGTAAAGGTGAGCGCGACCTTCCTTGTTTGTCGGTACCTGGCCGGGTATATTCAGATAAAGTTGCACGGCGTACCACGGTGGGTTGCATTTGATGGAAGTGCGTGCAGCACCAACGTCGATTCAACGACGTTTATGTGCTGTTACGTTGATTCCCCAGCCAGGACCAAGACACGGTTGGAGCAGGTCACCACGACAACACATGGTCACTGGGAAAGGAGAAAAGTGGCAAACACAACGGCGGCAATGACCTGGGAGCATAGAGGTAGTGACCCATGGTGTCATCTCGTTTCGTCGGTTGCACTAGTCCAGCTTGCAGAAGGGGAAGACGGTGAATGCCATTGTCACACTTTGGGCCCGGCAGAAGTTGACCAAGCGCCTTCCCGATAAGGCAGCTACAGTTCTGTCAAGAAGATCTTAGAAAGGTACGTACCAACCCTACCAATGTTGATTGCACCACGAGTGACTTAACCACGGAACCTCAAAGTCCAACACCGATAAGTTTACAGAAGCGTCCACGTCAATTTCTTTACAGACGTTGACGCGGAAACCGAAAATGACGGTCTGGCCCCCTTTCGTCTTCCTTTCTTATTGGCGGTATCTGCCGCGGACAGTCGTGGGTGCGAGTGCGAGTGCCTCAGTTCGGCATTTCCACGTTTCGAAACGCCGATCTGGCCGGGATCACGTGGCAAAAGCTGCCCCGAACAGGAAAGGCTTTGGCTCGGCCTCGGTGCTTCAGCAGCCAAACGGCCGACAGCGAGCTTACACCCCCAAGAAGATCTTGGCCTTGGTCCCCGGATCTGGCCAGTCGTGGAAGTTCATGAAGTGGACCAGTGACGCTAGGTTGCCAGACGCGGAGGGCGATATCACGAATTCCAGGAAGATGGTTTCAGCTGACAACACCACCACGTATAAACATATCTCAAGGCCCCTTCTCCATGTAGACGCTCCGGTTGGCAGCCTAACATCCAGCTCCAATATATTTTTGCCTGACGCTGCTTGAAAAGGTCAACCATATCTACCGTGATTATCACGTTGTTTCCCGTGCCACCGGGGCCGTTTAACTTAAAGTGCTCCCCATCTAGCCTTGCATTGCAATCGGTCCACAGCTTACACAAAGTTTCACAACAGTCGGCTATCGTACGTAGATTCCTCGCATCTCGGGGGCTACCCTCATACAAGTGATGCTAGAAAACTTCAACTGACTTGAGCATTTATGTAGATGGCCGGACCGTATCTATTAGGTACCGCCATAGTAGGTGGTGTGCCGACACCCAACGTTGACGACCCTATCGCGGCCGTCATGATCGCGCTCTTCCTCCTCGCCGGCGCCTTCCACATGACATGGCGGCTCAACCAACCGAAAGAGCACGTTTCCAAGCTCTCGCTCTTGTTATTCATCTTCTCCATGACCCGCATCGTGGCCTTGGTAATGAGAATGACCTGGGCATCGCACCCGAAAAACATCAACGTAGCCATTGCCGCACAAATCTTCCTCGCCGCAGGAGTGCTCATATTCTTCGTCATCAACCTCATCTTCGCCCGCCGGGTATTGGGCGACTACACCGTGTTTGGAAGACACAAGGTGATCGATTCGATCATGACATTCCTCATAACCTGCGTGGCGGCCTGTCTGATCATGGTCATCGTCGCAACAGTGTACAGCTTCTTCACGCTCGACCCGCACACCCGCCAACAATGTCGCGATATCCAGCTCGTGTCCAGTACCTACCTTGCGCTGTTGGCATTCATACCCATTCCGACGGGCATCTTGACTCTGCTGCTAGCTGAGCCAATTGAAGATCTCAAAGAGCGAAGGAGGTTCCACGCTCGTCTCCAGCTCCTCTTGTTCACCGCTACGCTCTTGACACTCGGCGCTGGCTTCCGGACGGGAACCGCTTTCGACGCCCGGCCCCAGGGCCATACCACGTGGTTCCATCACAAAGCTGCATTCTATTGCTTCAACTTTGTCATCGAGATCATGTGCACATACACCGTTGCCGTTGCTCGGTTCGATCGACGGTTCAGATTAGGGCATCTTCGTGTTTCAGAAGACGTGGAGAAGGATGCCTTAACGGATAGCGACTCGCCCGCCGATGATCGGGAATTCTTCGACAAATTCTTCGACATGATTAACAACGACAGAGAAGTGTTCGGTCGGGAGGACTGGAAGCAGTGAGTCATCGGGTCGTTTGACGGTTTGCCGAAGCTGTGTTGAGTCATGGGTCGGATGTTGATCATGTTATAGTGTTGTGATTTCGTTGTGATGGGGTTTTCTTGCATACAGCCACCTGGCCGAGGCGTCACGGGAGTCGGTTAGGGATATCCCAGCATCTTCTCCACATGAGGAGTTCGGTACCGCATAGACTTTAGAATCTAATCTTGATATTCTCTTCGAGCTTCATGCCACGCAGGCGAGTGTAGAGATCACGTCAATGCCCGGGTGAGAGAAGGTACTAAAGCCTCATGCTGTGATGCAGGCCACGCCAGCTATGGAGAGGCCGAAGGTGCTGTCACTGTGGCCGTTCGGCAATTATTGCAAGCTGACCTGCTTACTCGACTGTTATGGTGTGTCTCTCCACTCAAGCGAGTAGTGGACCACGTACGTCCTCTAACGTGGCCTCGGACGGTTGACTCGTCCAGGAAGACAAGCAGCCTAAAGTGGATTGAGGTCAAGTGACGACCCAAATGTTGGCCGCGAATGTACGGTCCACGACGTTAACCATACCTCCAGCAGGTCCAAAGATGTTACCTTGTATGCAACTTCCGTCCAGTCCTACGCCCGGCACGTACAACCAGATTGGTCAATGACTTAGGATTCAGCTTGGCCAGGCATGGTTGGTGCCATTCGGACATTCCATTGTGTGGTCGAGTTTGGGGCGGCCAGTCCTCAAGCAGGTGCGGGTTGCACATTATTCCCAACGGTCTTGTACAGCTCTCTCAGCTCGAATGCCTCGTGCCCACCCTCAGGAACCTCGCCGATGACGCGGGCTGGTCTGCCGGCAACAATGCTGAAGCTCGGTATGGTCATATATGGGGGGACCACGGTGCCATCGAGTATGCGGGTGTAGTCCTTGATGGTCGCCATTTCACCAATCACAACTCCTTCGCCGATGTGAACGTGGCTGCCGATGGTCGCCGCTTGCACAACCGAGTTCTGCCCCACGAAGACATGGTCGCCCATTCGCAGAGGTAGATGAGTGAAATGACTATTAGATATTAGACGTCAACAACAAAGCCACCGAGTTCGCACAGCTGCTCAAACGAACCCCTTGTAGAAGCGGCCTGGTGGGCGCAAACAACATCCCCGGCTGAAGAAGCAGTACCGCCCGATCGAGATGGCCGTGTTGTTACCAGAACCGCTCCCACCAGAAGATGCACTGCTACGAGACAGGTCGCCGCGAATCATCACTTCCGGCTGGATAACAGTCTTGCCGCCGAGGGTTATGTTCTGTGTGCCAACCAGGATAGCCTTGCGAGCGACCTTGTTGCCCGTGTCCTGCCAGAGGTGCGCGCGTTAGTCTGTCGCGAATGACGGCATGGAAAATCGCGAGGAAAATCTTACGGTCTCGATATACTCTCCTTTGGGTGCTCTGCGCGACATTTTCGCCGTTGTAGTTTGAATCCCAACGAGTTGCGAGCCACCTTCGTCTGCCGACTGGATCAGTAGGAGGAACAAGGAGCTCAAGCCGAGGCGGTGTCAAAAACGGTTTACGTAAGCAAAGCTAGCACATGGTGGCCATAGCTCCCAGGTTCACGCAACACTTCTGTGTCGTTTCTCCTATCGAACCAAGCGTCCTATGGGATGCCTTTTTCCTAAGCTGCGAGATATCCCTCAATGATGAAATTGCGAAGCAGTGCTGTGAGTTAGGATAGATGCATCATCCTTCACCATAGCTTGGAGTGACACCTTGATTATGCAGGAAGTGATGGCACAGGAGCGTAATATAGTTGTTAAAAACTGCGGCACTGCTTCCATAAGCCCTTATAGCTCAGTGGTAGAGCGTTGCACTTGTACGTCTCGCACGTTTATGCAAAGGTCTATAGTTCAATCCTGTATGGGGGCATCCTTTTTGCCCAGCCTTTCTTTGTTATACTTTAATACTCCAGATTGGATATCCCGTCATGGTTGTCGGTTCCGGTCCTCAGCTTCAGCAGCGCGGGAAGGCACACCTACCTTAGGTACCTGAATGTGGTAGACGGTTATGAAAAAAAAGCCGTACGAAAAATAGTGAGGACCTGTCCCAATTGCGATAGACCCCAGCTTTACAGGGCTCCAATGTTTCAGCAAAGTTAGTGGAGTGTCGGGGGCGCTGTAGCGGAAATCCACAGCAGGGTTACAGCTTAAGCTCACTACGTGCAGTAGTCCAAAATGCGGCTTGTAGCTTGTTTGAGGGGGGAGGTACGGCCTCTCAATAGGGTATCGGCAAGGAGGCACAGACCACCCTTCCAACAAACCACCGTTTGAGGTGTGTGACATTACGTACACCTGCATATCTAGGCTCGTGACACACACATAAACTCCGGGTTGTGTGTGCCAGGGCTAGTAGGAGAAACTGGATTTCTCAAACATCACGTCATGCCATTGCCTCAACATGTTTCGACGAGTACAAAAGACTTGGACTGTTTCAAGATGTAATATTGCTTCTATCTAGGAGGATGTTTAGTCCCTCGAAAGCATAGTATACCCTTATATTGTTCTCCTTCAGCCTGTTTAGCACGTTAGTCAATGAACATGACAGACGCATCCGAGTCCAACAGTAGCCAGCCGGCGTCCCCTGCCAAAGGTACTGAGCCAGCTCAGGACTCCCGGGGTAGTCAGGCTAAGCCAACAAACAGTGCCGACGAAAGCAAGGACAAGATGCAAACGCCAGATAATGACGGTGAGAAGCCACCACCAGATGAACTCGCCAAGGCTATCGACGCCGCAAAGGCTGCCAAGCGGCTTCAGGACACGGTCAACACGCTCAAACAGCAGGCCAAAGCAGTTCAGGACCCGAAAGAACGGGAGCGGCTGTTCCGAGCCGCGTATGAGAAGGAGGTGGAGGCCCACGGGCAGAGCAAGAAGGCTCGGGTGTTGGCAAGCGGATGGGGACAGGGAGCGGGAGCCGGCGTTGGTATTTCCGGTGCCGTTGGAATGGGTCTTGGAAATCTGGTTGGTGTTCTGCTTAGCGGTGTTGTTGCCGTACCTGGTGTTTTAACTGGTGCTGCTGTCGGTGCCGCCCACGGGCCGTGGTACACGTTTGGCCTAGGCGGCCAGAAGAAAGATGACACCAAGAAGCAAGAGAAGACAGACGGGGAGGATGATGCTGATTTCTCGGATGAGGAGATGCATGATGCCATCGTCAAGGCTGCTGGTGAGACAGAAGAGCAGGAGAAACAGGGTTGACGACACGGCCAATGCAAGTGCAGGCCCGGTCTGGTTCAGTAAAGAGAGCTTTTGCCAAAATGGCGGTGTGAGGTGCAGCCCGGTCTGTTTGATCGATGAAAAGAGAACCGATACCGATGTCAATGTGGTTGAAGTAAAGGATGCAAACGGGAACGAAGAGATGTACATCGTTTCGGGTTGTGAGTGGCAGCGTGCATGGACCCTGGGTAAACCTGACGCCGTACGATCATCAAACAAGTGATTGCACTTCTCAGAGATCTTTCCGAGTGGTAGTACCCATTCCTCTCCATCACTGTCACAGTACCATAGCCTCGGCCAGCCGTTTGTTCAGCTTAGCTTGTGCTGATATGCCTCAGGCTATAGCTCGAGCACTTCTGCACTTCTTCTCTTCCAACTAAAGCTTGGCTCGGTCAACTCCAAGTCAGATCACCTGGTTTCACAGTCTCGATTTTCAGGCCAGCCCTCTTGCAATCAACAACTGCTTCTATCTTCCGGGAGCAGGTCTTTTGTCTCTCGACCAAATCGCAAGATCTTTCCCGCTATCTTCTTGCCCTGTTTCTTACCTCGCCCTCTTTAAAAGAAGTCACAACTGTCCCATCGCCATTTCAACAAGGTTGGTTAGAGGTGCCAGGATATCTCATTTTGGGCGGATTATTACCCAAAGGTAAGCAATGCTTTCATTTTTAAAATACAGACGTGTACGCTTTCACATTTGCCATGGCTGATCTTTGTACCTAGTGCTGCTGTGGCCGCACGAGCTACGACCAACATGACGGTTCCGGCACGCTCTCTGGATTACATGATCCATCATGTCATCCTTCCCCCACGGCTGCCTAGCAATGGCGACAATGCCTCGTTTCAACTCGAAGATGGTGCTCTTCTCGGACAGCTATCAGACTCACTCGACAAGTTTGCAGCTGATTTCGGCCATGGGAATAGAGGAGTCTTTGAAACGGTCAGTGGCATGATCACGAAAGCACTTCTCGTCCTCGACGATGGCGGAAGAGTCAATGAGCTGTCGCTGCTACAAAGCCTCCAAGAGGTCGCATCGGCCGGTATGTCCTGTTCAAACGTACAAAATATTACCCAGCTGACAGGTTACGTGTAGGCGCCATCCTTCCTCTCTACATCAAAGCCCAGAATGCAGCACTGATTGTTCGGAGGCAGGAAGGCGACATTATCTTCGAGCCATTCGAGCTATCGCCCCCTAACGATAGAATCATGTCAGTAAAGGGTCGACTGCAGCGCTGCTTCCCGGGACGTGCTATGGCTGTTCCTCTCGGCGTGTTCCAAGATGATGGTTTCCTCGCCACTCTCGCCAGTACCATCGTCAAAATGAGTTGCCATGAAGCACTGCAGATGAAACCCACAGTCAAGAAATCCAACAATGTACAGATTGAAGACCGGGAGACCACAGATCCGGAGTTGGTGACTGAGTTTCTCATGAGCTTTCTGGAAGCTTCCGGCAGAGCCATCACCACACCTCGGACTTGGAAGAACACCAGGGACGAGGTGTCATGGTCGAATGGCTGCATTCCCTGGAGGAGGTCCCCAGTCTGGTTGCTTGCTCGAGTGGCGATGCAGACCACCTTCTCACGGCTTTTGCCCTCTGGCCAGCACTACAAAGAGTTTATGGTTTTCTTCATAGCCGATATCCTGAGACTTGCGCGAGACCACGGCACTCCGTCTGATATCCTGCATTGCATCGCCTCCAAGATCACGGGCCGTGCGAGAAAGCTCAAATGGGATCAATCAGATGTCAAACCGGCTTGGCTCACCGATGCCGAAGAAACGACCCGGTTGGGTTTAGAGACTATGCAAACGACGTGGAGCGAGATCATGGACAATGCCGACCCATCTGTTCTAACAGCTGACCTTGGAGCACTGGACTTTGCTCGAGATTGTGCCACGATGCTGCCTGAACTCGACGAGTACATCAAACTTGTCCAAACACCCCCAGCAGTTGATCGCACCCGACAGTTGTTTTCGCCACCCGAGCTCACCTCACACTTCCCTCCGGGTCTGCCACAGGCTGAAATGTTAGAAACCAACAAAGACAGCAGCTACGTTTTGGCAGCTTTCGAAACATGGGTAGAGTCTCTGTTGGATGTCTGGCTACACGTTCGCATGCAAGACATCGACACATGCGGCAGCCTATCACGGCTGATGCAGCAATATCACCAAGCCTCAGCTAGCCACTATAAGTACAATCCAGAGAACATGTCCATCATGGTCTTGACGTGCTTGGAGCTATGGGTTGCTGCCGATAAGTCAGCTTGTCAACGACACCCGTTGCTACTCGACTACGACCCATGTATCCCCAGCAAGTTGCTGCAGTCGCTTCTTCTGCCATTCAAAGATCAGATGCAGCGGCTACTACGAGTTGAGGCGTACCTCACCCATCGCCGCGCCACCGCCAAAGTGGGCCGACCTTCCATCTTCGGTAGCTTTGGACAGCAAAACAGCTTTGCCGTTCGTTTCTACGCTTCTTCCCCAGTCCACCAAGCCCTGCTTGCCCAAATCGAAGCGCGAGCCAGCGAAGAGAGGGACGCAAAAAGGGAGGAGCTTGCAGAGCTGAAGCAAGAGTACGATAGGCTTATGGCTCTTCACGTCCAGGCTGACTGCGAGTATGAAGACTACTACGAACCCAAGTACCGTGGCACTGTTCGTCGGCATAAGCATTCTTGCCAGAAATGTCTTTACCAGCAGCGAGCGACGAATCTGCATATTGACTTGCACGAGTGGCCTCTGCCGACCGATCCACTCCGCGCACATGCCGTCGTTTTCGAGATCGACTGCCCCCGCGCAGTCGACGACTGGCGGGATATGACGCTTTTCGTTGTCCTGGATGTTTTGCGATGCGAGTATGTCCGCAAGACCCCGGCCCGCAGTCAATACAGCCCAGGTGATTGTTTAGGGTCTTACATAAGACATCAACCACAGAGAACGCGTCTCATCTCTCAAACCAAACCGCACAAGGTCACACATCGATCCAGCATCCAGGTTGCTCTGGCCGAGGCCAGCACCGTTTGTGTGAATAATGGCTTGACATACGAATATTATGATGCTGAGTCGCAATGTCTGACAGAGCGTGTGAACGTTACTGAGAACATACCCAAAGCATGCACGTACCGACTCCAGCTTTCCAAGTCACTCCAGGACTTCATCTACAGACCGCATGGCAGACCAGACGGTCCGGTTCCCAACCTTGCCGTGTCCAGCCAGTCGCTGTGTCCACAGCACATGTCCTTGGAGGAGTACAAGGCTCTCGCTGTCCTGCCACTTGGCCGTCGGATTCAGTGGCTGAACATCCTGGCACAGCTCTCCATGCCATCCGTTGACCTCAAAAAGGTCGATACAAATCTCGTGTTACTCCAGATAATCTCCCAAGCCGGGCCGAATTCAGACGGCAGTGTCGCGCGAGATGGCCACCAGGATCTGCAGGACGACATCTTTGGTCAACGGCTGCTGGATGCTTTGCGCACTGGACTTGAACGCATCAGGGAGAACTGGGAGTCCTGCCAGGCTCTATGTAGCCTGGTTGCGATTGCGGCGAGGCTGCTATCCATGAACTCCTCAAGAGACGTTGCAAAACCCTGCCTTGAATTTCTCAGTTCCTGTCGGCAGGCGGCACTCTCTTGGGTTTGCAATCTACGCAACAAAGCTGCTTTGACATCT